TTTACCCAATATCTTATGTAATACATTATTTGTATATTGTAAAACATTTGCTGCATTTGTATGGTTCATAGTTTATTTGCCAAGGTATTTATTAATATAAATAGGTATATATGTTGTCGTTATTAACTGTATATTATGTATGTTTCATGTAAACTATATCATTTTTAAAATACAAACCAAAAATCTGAGGAATAATTATGTTTTCCATGTATTCTACAACATATTTATTAATCCGTAGTATCTAACTAGCGTGACGTCATAAATCTCGCCGGAAGGCTGTTCTATTAGAGACGGCATTGACTGGCCCACCTCTACTCATTTCAAATAATGCCAACGTGCCGGTTGACAACTGACTTGAATGACGTCAGGGTGCCATCCACATTATCCTAGAAAAAGCGGATCGGCGTATCCGCGTAACGACCTTGAAACTATTTCCAGTAATTCTATTGGCTGAAAAATTAATCTGTCAAAAATTTCAGCCAATAGAATTACTGGAAATTGTTTCAAGGTCGTTACGCCGATCCTCTTTCTCTAGGATAATGTGGATGTGGATTAGAGGTGGGAACTCTAGTTCCTTGGGAGGAACTAGTTCCTTAGTTCTAGTTCCTCCAGAAGAATAGTTCCTTGAACTAGGTCCTTAGTTCACAATAGTTCCCGACTAACATTGACATCCCCGTTGCTTGCTAATGGATTTCGTTTTCAGTCAGAACTATTCACCCCCCAGTTTACTATTCAAAATTATACCGATCATTATAATTTTTAGGTAAAGGTGTGGATCCGGTGGCTGACCTTGAAGCCCATATTTGCTGCTTTTGATCATCGATACTACGCAAGCGCACATCGTCGAGGTTGCCAAATTAGCAGTTTATTTTCGAATTATTTGCAGTTGAAAATTTTTTTTTGAGTGTTGATCAATAATAATACAAATTCTATAATTAATTTTATAATTTCAGATTTATCTTGATATCCAAAATTAAGGAATGATATATAAAATTGAATATAAAAAATTGTAATAATAATAAAACATTTATTTATATATTTACATTAGAATTAAAAATTATCATTTACTGATTTTTTCTTAATGGTTTTAAACTTATTAGAATTATTTTATTTCTAGTTATTTACAGGCAACAATAGTTTTGATTATATATAGTGATGTATTGAAGCACTACCATGACGAGTCTTATAGAATAATACACGTCAATGGGAGATAGAGGTAACATTTTACCTATAATGTTACTAATATAATAATTTCTTAAAAATATCAAGTTAGTGGATTAATAGCAATTTTAGACACATATTTTATCGAAGAGTTGTGGTGATAAGTCTAAAATAAGCTTTATGTTTTATCTTTTTCTTTTTAGAAGGGAGATGGTTAGTGTCGTAGAATACTTTACAGTATTTAATATCGTATACTTTGATATTCTTTTCTTAATTTACTGTAATTTCTTGTTTCCTATAATGCCAAATCTTGACAATATGGTGAAGGTTGAGTTTTGATCTTTTTAGTTTTATACCTGTGTTTATACAAGACCAAATTAAGACAGTTTGTGATTTATATTAAGATCTCTCTTATATTTGTTATGTCTTAATCTTAATACTATATTATGCTTTGTCTGAAAAATAAATGTTAAAATATCTTAATTTTGCATATCCTATTCCATCCTTATGGTTTATAAATCATATATCACATATGCTAAGAAAATCACATAAATTAGGTGTAAGAATAGAGAAATCTTAAGGTAGCAGAAAAATTAATGCAATATATGTATAAGCAGATTAAACAAGGTAACTGTTAATGTTGCTGAAGCTGATTCTACCATTTTAATTACGGAGGCTAAAAGGCCTTTTAAATTAAGGCCTCCGTAGTTTCGATGGAATGTTAAAAAAAACTATTATGAACATGACATGGAGCTACAGCATTTAAAAATTTAAAAAAAAAGAAAAAACTTGGACACATCCCTTTTAATTTCCCGAATTTTTAATAAAGCCCTTTTTAAACGTAGCATAATAATCTAGAGCAATTAGATTAATTATAGGCATCTAGAGTTTTATTTCTATTTAATTTTATTGACTATGAAAATACATAATAAGCGTTCACGTGTTGTGCGAAATATTAAAATAATAACATGAATAATATACCGCGTACTATGATTGAAAAAAAATAGCGTCAGTGATGACTATGAAATGAAGATCGCTGTCATTTTATATGGGAAATGTCCTTAATCGTCATTTCCCAGCCAACTGTACGCCGTTTTTTCGATCATACGGTATATTATATTGACAAAAAAACACTGAAAAGCACATATTTGTTTTCTACTGAAAATAATTCCAAAATAACTTGCAATCTGGCAACATCGAAGATGTGCGCATGCGTAGTGTCTGTGACTACATGCAGCAAAAACTCGTTTCAAGGTCAGCCACCGGATCCACACCATTACCAATTTTTATAATGTACGAAATATAAGAAGACCTGTAATTGCATATGTTAAAAACATATAGGTAAGTTTTATAACAGATAAAAAAATTAAAGAAACTCAAATCAGAGTTTAAAAACTATATCACAAATCAAATGTCTAATGGTGGGTTCATACAGCCAAATAAAATAAAATAAGAATAAAATAAAATAAAATAAGAAAGTTGGTTATATGGGATACCGTACATGCGTTCATACAGCCAAATAAAATAACAAATAAAATAAGAAGTCTTTATCTTTTAACTTCTTGTTTTATTTTATGTGAAAACGGCTTTGCGCACGCTTAATTCTAACCTACAAATATTTTCAGTTTGATTTAATTTATTTTTTATAATTTCACATAAGTAAAATGTATAATATAGTAGGCAACGAATAAATAAATATACTATAAATAGTAAAATTACTATAAACAATCGTAAAAGTTAACTTTTATCCAGCCTCATCGTACTGCGCAAGAGCAAATATATACTTCTTATTTTATTTTATTTGACTGTATGAACGCACACAAATAAGAATTCCTTATTTCTTATTTTATTTTATTCTTATTTTATTTTATTTGGCTGTATGAACCCACCATAAAAATTCAGAATATCTACTTCAAGATATTTCTTAATTTTAGGGACCTAAAGTGAAACATTCCCATAAAATATTTAAAAAATAAAGTAAAAATCAAAAACAGTATCCCCGACAATTTTCTGTGGTAATTACGCCGCGCCGGCTGTGGCAATAGACAAGGCCGAATCCAGCGTCGTCTCCTTGTATTATATCGCGGATCTGCCGACTGAATAGATTCCCGTGAACTAGTCTTTTAATAGTTCCTCTATGTCCGGATCCGATAACATACGGCTGGCACTCCCCACGCCTGCCTAGCATCATTCGCGCTGGCTGATCCATACGTAAACTAGTCTTTTATTTAGTTCCTCTAGTTCCTTTAGGTCCGGATCCGATAACATACGGCATACGGCTGGCACTCCCCACTCCTGCCTAGCATCGATCGCGCTGGCCTGATCTGTGCGTACGTAAACTAGTCTTTTATTTAATTTAGTTCCTCTAGGCCCGGATCCGATAACGTACGGCTGGCACTCCCCACTCCTGCCTACCATCGGGCTACGCGCGCTAGCCGATCCGTCGCCGTCGCATATTATTTTATATCGGTCACAGTCTCGATCCCGGAACAGGTCCTGAGGAACAGTTCTTTGAGAAACCAGGAACTAGTTCCTTTCATTCCGGGGTCGGAATAGTTCATTGAAACTAGTTCGTTCACGAACTACACACCTCTAATGTGGATGCACCCCTCTGATGCACCCTCAAGGATACTATACATGACCCCACATTTTTCCACGCAAAATGTACAATCCCACTTAAGAAAGTACAATTTCGACACCATTTATAGTACATGTATAGTACAAAAATTTTTGCCCTTGTAACAATGCTGGAGATAATCTAAAGCCCCGTTCTCAGAACAGCGACTGTCGCCAGCGACACGTCAAGAGGACCAATGAGATTTGTACAAAATTCAAACAGCTGTCAATTTTAAATTTAGTACAGCTCCCATTGGTCGTTTGAAGTGTCAATCAGTGTCGCTGATTGACACTTCAAACGACCAATGGGAGCTGTACTAAATTTAAAATTGACAGCTGTTTGAATTTTGTACAAATCTCATTGGTCCTCTTGACGTGTCGCTGGCGACAGTCGCTGTTCTGAGAACGGGGCTTTAGGAGATAATCAGGGCCATGTAAGTGAAATATTAAAAATGGTTCCAGCAAAAGTTTACCAATTATGACGGATGATGGCGCTGATCGTCAAAATTTTTGGACAGGGATTTCGCTTACCGACAATACGACGTGAGCTACGACCGGACCAGGACCAATCAGAATGATCAGTCTTTCTTGGACATTTGCCGCGGAAGCATGTGTTAATTTCTGTTGTGATAAGTGTGGTTGTGTTTGCAGTTTGATTTTTCGGTTTTGATATCATGTTAAAATTAATTTTGAAGTATTGTATCACCTGTTTTTATGTAATAGTACTTTTTTTAGTTCTATGATCTGATATGTTATGATTTGTTAATGTTTGTTTAACAATGTTATACCAAAGAGGTTATACTTAATATATTTATCAATTTGCATAGCCTAACTTTTTTATCAATAAACTTTGTAGATTTTCAGATTATTTAATTCCTTTTGTTTCCGTTTGTAATTTTATTTTTAAGACATATTATGTGATTGTTTCACATAATATGTTTTAAAAATAAAATTGCAAATAGCGAATAAAAATAATTAAAATAAAAAAGTGTATTTTACAATTTCCCCCGGCCCCGCACCCCTTTGGCTAACCTATAATGTCAGCTATGTCGAGAGATGGCGTTACGAAAATGGAACCGATTTATTACAAGGAACTTGGGCTTCTTTTTCGTTAGTATATTCTGTGGAGATAATCAAGTATCAAGTCAGACAAATCAAATCAAATTACATTATTTTTGTTTTTTGTTTCTTTTTTAATACTTCATCAATAATTATTTAAAAACATGGAAGTTGACTTGTTGCGACCGGGGACCGTGCCTATATCCCCAGATACTTTTTTAGGATTTGAATTTTTATTAGATAAAGACTTACTTATAAGACATTTACAAAAGGCAAATGCAGGTTGTTTTATCTACAGAAATTCCAGTTACATACTAAGAAATTATCTTTTAGATCCTTCTCCTACAGATTTGATAACAAAGTTTTATGATGCCATTGTAATGACTTTAAAAAATAAAGCAGAGCCGGAGAATATTGAAACTGCCGAAGGAAACAATGAAGTTACAGTTAAACATCCTATAAAGAATATTGCAATGAAGATATTGTCTTTAAAGATAGCCGCTTTTTTAAACTGGAATTTAGCTCAAATAAGATCGTTACCATTTAAAACTCAAATTAGTTTACTACAGGATCTTATGTATTTTACTAGCGAGGAAAAGACCATCATGGAAATTCCAAATATTGAGCAAGCTGATACTAAAACTGCCTCTCCCCAATTTTTATTTGCTCTTTTGTTATTTCATAGGTGGTTGCTGAATACTTCAATGCATAGGGTAACTTCAAGTTGGCAACAAAGATATGGGTATATATTGAGTAACGTATAATTTTTTGTATCTACTTGATATTTTATTTTTGTTTGCAGAATGACCGAAATGTCACCAGCTGATGAAAATATTATATGTTGTCCAGATAACATCAAAAAAACAGTTACATTCCTTACAGATGCATTACAATGGGAAGAAATTCCTCTAATGTTAACATATGATTGTTTCAATATGCCTACAGAAACTAATGAGGCTCTTCAATTTGAATGGACTAAAGGCAAAAAAGTATCTAGAGACGAATTTTGTGCACAAATTTGCTTTGATTTGGCCACTTTTTTCTTTTATCGTGAAGAGTATGATTTTGCTAAACAGCAATTTGCCCAGTGTTTAAATTTTTTCAATTCTATTATTGGACAGAATGGCTTTGCAACTATTGATACAGATTTATTAAATATGTACATGAGAGCATGTGATTCTACTGCTGATTTACAAAACAAATCTTTAACAGAACAGTTAAATAACTCTATTGTTAACCAGTTTGTGGTTAGTACGATTCTGTGTATTAATTGGGTGAGGGAGGCATGACTTATATTCATCTCTTTTCATTTTAGGGTCTAACAGCTATCCTGCAAAAAGATAATGTTAAAAAAGAGATATCTCTAGTGCATAGACTGAACCTAGAATTGGATGTTCAAGGAGCTCTCTCTAGTGGTGTCTTCACAGTAGCAAGGGATTTGTTATATAAAGTAAAGGCTTTAAATCATATCCGATGTGTGTTAGAAAAGAAGTTGTTAAATGAATTTGCTTTAAGTCACTCCAGAAATATTGACAACCTAATTTTTGTATGTAGAAGAAGAAATACTAAGAATTTATGTTATATATTGAATTCTTTTAGGGTTTGCATTGGAATTGGAATATATGGAAAGAGGAGGATAAAAAATTGTTAAAAAACTACCTTTTCCAGCTGATTATAAAGGAGGAGGTTCCTAATCTATATAATAGAATAAACTATCATGGTACATTAACAAATATGTTTAGTAAAGCTGAAATAATGTACATTAAAAAAGAGGGAAATGTAAATATTTCTGAAAGCCTTCTTAAGACTGAAACTAGTTTTACAGATTCTACTAAAAAAAGTAATATAACTTAAATTATAATTTTTATTTCATTCTAAAAATAGCATTATTTCAGAAAAACCACAAATGGAAATGAGACAGTTGGAAAGACAGCTTATAATTACATATGATTGGAAGGAAATTAAAGACTTAATAACTAAGATTGCCATGATGAACTTTAATACTCCTATTTGGGAAGTTAACCCTCAATGGAAATTACCCATCCCATTAGAAAGTGTAATCAAAGGGCTTCCTAGAGGTATGAAAAAGTATTTTAAATTACCCATTTTTTATAACTGAATCTTTTTAGGATTTTTGCAAGACTATTCGTATGTGTTACTGGCAAAATCTAAAGAACAGTTTCTTAACAAGAATTGGAACATGGCCCTTGAACTACTTATAGTTTTAGATAAAGAATTACAAGCTGCTTCTTCCAACATTTCTAAGTTATATAAAATGGTCAATTGGGAAGTACTGGTTATACAAATTACTCAGTTAATTGAGGACTGGCCAAATAGTATTGCTGGTAGGTGTAAAAAATTAAAGAAATAACTCTTATGTTATAGGAAATTCGTTTTAAGATAGGCATGCTTTGGGTAATGCATGTGAGGTATGCTTTCAAACAAATGATACAGTCTTACCCCGTACAGAGGTTATAGAAACCTGTGCTATCTGTCTTCTGAATTTGCGACGCTGGGAGTTCCTTTTAGGACAGGAAAAAAAATGGGCAATGTTTGAAATCACTTCGGCTATAGCCTTGGCTTGTCACGAAATAGTTCAAAACAAGGGTACTAAGAAATTTTCAAAAAATTTATGGGATCTTGGTAAAATGTAGATTATATGTATGTTTCAAGTCTTTGTAGCTAGTTTATGATTTTTTAGTATTGCCGATTTTTTCTCCAAACTCTTCTCAATCCAAAAGAGGAAATTCAAATTATAATGATAATAATTCCATGAAAAATAACTTGATGTCAATATTTTTACGCCTGAAAGACACTTGGTGCCTAACAGTGGTGATATCTTTGCTTACAAAACTCTACAATATTTTTAAAGATGAAACCAATCTGGAATTACAAGTGGAATATATGAACTTGTGGCCTAATACAGTGAGCAAGTAGGTTTTGAAGAGATTGCATTCAAAAAAGCTGGTTTGGGTCTTACTTATGTTATATTTTAGTGCTAGTTCTTATAATATAAATGCTACATCAGAAATACTGTCTGAAATATTGACCCACGCACTGAAAGAATACCCATCTAATATTTCTTGGTTAAGATTAATGGGAGATGTGAATTTTGGTAACTAATTTTCTTTATATTATTTTATGTCTGTAAATATTAGTGTTGGGAAAATTCGAATTAAATAATACGACTAATTCGATAGTAAATTAAAACTAACTAATTCGAATTATCTTTTTCGATATATCGAGATAAAAATTAGTAGTATTTTATATTATATCTGTGGTAACCGAATTACAAATGAACATAAAACATAACCTCTTATGGACAAATACGAATATTAGTCTGATATTAGTAATTAGTATAGTACTATTAGTAGTATTCTTTCGTTCTGAACGAACTGAAAATTTTCACTTAAACTGATTTATAAAGGGAATCGGCAAAGAAAGGAACGATCCATAGATTTAGGAAGAACAGATATCACATTTTGCATTTTAACCCGATCAAACAATCGGAGGTTGACTACGTACTGTAAAAACCAACTGAGATAGAGAAGGCGACATTGCCACATCTCAAATTTGCGCCTATCTACTTAGTTTGATTTGCAGAAAAGGTGACTTTAAAACCTTCACCGGATATCAATAAATCTCAATTTCTTAATTAAATTAATAGTTTATTTTTAAAGAAGCATACGTAATAATATGTTATTAACCAAAGGATATATGCGTTACTATTAAAGGACATGTTTACTGTTTAATGTGCTGAAACGTCTAGAACTATTGGCAACGTCGCTGCTAGTCTTCCAGAATGAAATGAGCCGTCCGTCCCACCAGCCCTCGCGACGACCCTTGGCCCGTTATAGCGTACTACGTTTAGCTTACGGTGTGTTTGAAGTCGGAATCAAGTCCGAAGTGAACTTTTCAGTGTTTTTCAGTAGTTTTTGCTTTTGTTTAACGTACTTTTGAATCTGCGAATTTTCAATATGGTACGACAGTGTCAAATGTGTGGAAAAATAAGCTCAAATTACCCGAATTTGTCTTTTCACAGGTAGGTATTGTTTCCGCGCGCGCCGTAATCGCCATACATAGGCGTCCCACAAGGGAGCCTCTCACAATTAAAATAATTTCTAATATTTGTTGAATTTTGGGCTATTAAAACAAGAACGTAGTAGCCGGTAATTGAATTATAATTCGTCTCAATTACTACTTAACTTTGTAGATCATAACAAATTTGAATATAAACATTTGAAACTTTATTATAAGCCAGAAAGTGACATTTTTTTTCTTAAAGTTGCGTCATATTTTGGTCATTATATACGATATTCTAAAGGAATTTTGCTCAACAAATAAACAAAGGTGTTTACCCGCCCTTTTTTACATTTTATTGCATTATTATATCTGCCCCTTCGGCCTCGTTTAAACAATTTTTTACCACCGTACAAATACCTCTTCCTAGAGTTATTTGTACGGTGTGTTTACTTTTTTTTAGAATGGGACGAACTGTAAATAATTCTTAGGCTACTAGTTTTATACATACCTATATACAGAATGACCCAGGCCTCCAAAAAAGCTTTTTACCTATTACATTTTAGGTTTGCAATTTTTATTTCAATTTTTTACATAAGATGGGGGCCATTGTAACGCACATTTTCAAAATATTTTTGTCAACATACAGGGTGATTCTCGGGGTGATTCAAACCGCAATACATATGCTTAATACAGTTCATGAAGATTGGGACATTTAATTAAAATTTGATTGTCTAATGAAGCTACCTTTAAAAGTAATGGATTTGTAAATAAACGTAATATTCATTATTATGCGACAGAAATCCCATACTGTAGCACACAGATTTGATACTTTTAATGATAAATGCCAGTTGAGAAACTAAAAGGTAATTGCCTGGTATCAGAGCCATCATAATACAAGAAGAAGACCGAAAGTCAAATATTGTCTTATATTTTCAAAAAAACACAATTTTCTCATTAAACATTGATTTTAGGTATAGGAAGTTACTAATAATACAAGATTAAACAACTATTACATAGTACTTTACAGGAAGCTATCGATTGCGAAATAACTAAATCGTTACTAATTACTAATTTTAAAAAGTTCTTTTTAAGATCAAAAAAGGTAAAACTAAAACCTAAATTATCATTTGAGATTAAACGGGAAGTTCTAAATAATGTTGCCTATTCTAAACAAGAAAAATTTATTTATAAGTTTTATAACATCTCTAATTAAATTTGGACGAAAATAATATTTCTGTTTGTTGTAGGTAATTTTCTCAGGGAAAATACGAAAATAAAAATGACTTTTTAAGTCAAAAAAAGTCAAAAGGACAAGTTATTCCAAAAAGGACTGTCCTTTTCAAAAAGGACAGGTGGCAACCCTAGGTATTTCTGGAATGGAAATTTAATGGCAAATCTACAACTTTAGTTTGAAAATATGTTCCGGCCACCTATGTTTACAAAAATGTCTAAAATGTTCTTTACCATTGCCTCCATATTCTGAAAAAAAAAATTGAAAGAAAAGTCACCAACCACAAACCTAATATAGAACTGTTTCGGAAGCCTGAATCACCCTGTAAATATTCAAAAGTAACTGAAATTTTATATAGAATTAACTGAAAGTTTAAATTGAAAATCGACGTTGGAGCGATTTTCGAAAACTACCTACTAACGTTTCAACATAAGTATATGTGGGATATTAATTATATTATTATATTAGACCTTATAACAAAACTCATCTGACGAAAAAGTGTTAATGTAGTATATTAATATGGAGTAAACATTTTACTAATTACTTTACTTTTACTTTACTAATTAAATTCGTTCCAAAAAACGATACGCCACTGGCCATTAGAACAATCCAAATGCGCCTAGTTGCCGGGGTCGGAAATTTTAGGCTTCTCTGTCTCTTCTGTCCTTGTTTTACACATTGGAATGTTTGATACACTACCAACGAGTATTTATGAATGAGATGTTCGGTCTATATTTATAATGTCTTTGGAACGATCCGATATAGAAAAATCCAGAAATCATTGTTATTTCCTATACCACGTAGGAATAAATCAGTTTAAGTGAAAATTTTCATTTTGTTCAGAACGAAAGAATACTACTATTATTTGGTTCATTTCCATCTAACCCAAATTTCACCGAACACTAAAATTAATTTTCTTCTTTTATCTAAATAATTATTGATTGCAACTGATAAAATAAAAAGAAATACGAACCGCACGTAAACAAGGACATACTTATATCGTTTTAGAAGAAGCTTTTATTTTAGATATGAGCTTTTCAATAGGAATTGAAACAATCATAAACTCGGCACTTTTAAATTTAATTAAAGTTTTAAATTTATTAAACGGTTTTAAATTTATTAATTATGGTTTAATTTATTAAACGGCTTCGGCACAGTTAATAGAATACATTGAATAAAGAATTTTTTTTTAATTTTTTATTCAGTGATAGAATATAGGTATGGCAATGGTTCAGAATTTGTTTAAAATAGCCCCTAGACGAGCACTAGCTGGAACGAAATTTTTAGGTTAAATTTATAATACTACTAAATAATTCGAATTATTAATTCGATTGTGAAATATGAATTATTACTAATTATTCGATGGTGAAAATAATTCGATTATTCCCATCACTAGTAAATATGTTACGGTTAAGGTCCAATGTCCGGTTAATGTCGACATTAACCGGACATAATCCGACCCGGTTAATCTCGATAATAACACACAACAAAACAACCAAAACCATAACCAAACCCAAACATTAACCTGTTAATGTCGACATTAAGGTTGATTCTCACTATACCTGCCATATCAGCTCCCTTCCGTTTACATAAAATATTATATCATGTAAATGAATAGGACAATGCACACTATCCGTTCCGTTTCCCTTCCGTCCCATATCCTTTCCTTCCATCCATTTTTTTGGCGGACGGAGTGAAGCGTATGGGAAACAGTGTTGTAAAGTTCGTACATTTGTACCAGCTCTGTTAACATTTTGCTGATAATTATTTATTCTTTCACCTCTTAATTAAATCTATTACCTTTTTCAAAAGCTACAAATTTTTAAAATAAATCTTTCGTGATGATATAAATTGTACAATAAAATGTATGGAACTGATACGGAACGGAAGCTTACATATAGCGTCAATACAATAAAAAAATACGGAACGGATATGGAATGGAAACGGAAGGTATAGTGAGAATCAACCTTTAAGGTTGATTCTCACTATACCTTCCATATCAGCTTCCTTCCGTTTTCCTTCCGTTTACATAAAATATTATATCATGTAAATGAATAGGATAATGCACACTATCCGTTCCGTTTCCCTTCCTTTCCATACATTTTTTTGGCGGACGGACTAAAGCGTATCGAAAATAGCGTTGTCAAGTTCTTACATTTGTACCAGCTCTGTTTAAAATTTTGCTGATATTTATTTATTCTTTCACCTCTTAATTAAATCCATTACCATTTTCAAAAGATACAATTTTTTTAAATTAAACTTCCGTAATGATATAAATTGTACAATAAAAAGTATGGAACTGATACGGAACGAAAGATTACGTATAGCGTCAATACAATAAAAAATACGGAACGGATATGGAATGGAAACGGAAGGTATAGTGAGAATCAACCTTTTTAACCGGACATCGGACTTTAACCTCAATATATACAATATGATAAAAAAAGCCGCGTCAGCGATGGCTATGAAATTAATATTATCGATCGTCATTTTCAAGCCTACTGAACACGACTGAACGCCGGTTTTTTTTCGATCGTATGGTAGTATAATTGTTTATATTTTGTTAGCAAATGGAAATTACAAGATTTCAATGTCGTTCTATTTAAAATCGTTGATCATATGCAATGATTATTTCAATCTCCCTATTCGGTATGACGATCATGTTACTAGAAGAATGATCAAATGTTGCCAGGCTCTAGGATGTTACACCCAAGCAGCTGTTTTATGCCAGTTTTTGGAAGATCCAGATTATGCCCTGGCGTTCCGTATACTAGGTATATTTTGCATAATAAAGATGTTTTTTTTAACTTTTTTCCTTAGTATGCAAAGTTTTTTAAACTTTTTTTCATAGGCGATCAAAAGCTCTGTAATGATGCAGTCGATGCTTATTATCACTGTTTCTGGGATATAAATATTCTAGAGTTCCTAATTCATATTCATAATAGACGCGGAGAGTTTCAGAGAAGAAAATGCGCTACACAAGTTATGGGAATGTTGGAATTAAACTCTAATAACAACGAGGAAATTCAAAGGGAAGCCAGTAATTTAAGAAAAAGTGTATTTTTAAGGGCTCTTTGCAAACAATATGTATTTTAAATGTATTTTTTTATTTTAACTAAATATATTTTTTTTATTTACTAAACTAAATGATAAATCATATATATGTATTTCTTATTTTACATTTAATTGTGAAAAAATATCTGCATTCTCCTGTCTTGTTATCTAAGTTCCATTGGCAGTGTTGCCGCACCCTACTTTTATCGCGTGCCACATTCTAAACTAAAAATGTACCACTTTGGTACAATTAAAAGAACAGAAGAAGAAAAAATTAATGAACAACAAAATGCATCTGCAAATGACTTCAAGCGAAAAACATAAAATAGAAATTCAGAAAACCCAATTTTAAGTATAGGTTGAAGAAATCTAAGTAATTCTAATACTACACACCATACTTGGAAAACTTAAATTTTAATTGTAGGAAATTTTCTTTCCTTTCATTGTAGGAAATTGCAATTTGGCATGTAGGTTCAGTCCCGATGGCAATACATTTTCTTGCAAGGCATGAGGGTGCATCCAGACTATCCTAAAAACGGCGTAACGGCGTAATGACCTTGAATCGATTTCCAGTAATTCTATTGGCTGAAATTTTTGACAGATAAAATTTCTGACTGATGAATTTTTCAGGGTGCAGCCACACTATCCTAAAAATGGCGTATCGGCGTAACGGCGTAATGACCTTGAATCGATTTCCAGTAATTCTATTGGCTGAAATTTTTGACAGATGAATTTGACAGATAAAATTTCTGACAGATGAATGTTTCAGCCAATAGAATTACTGGAAATCTATTCAAGGTCATTACGCCAATAATATTTAGACACTCTGTATAAGGTAGTAAAATTTTTATTATTGCAACACAATAACTGATCAATAAATAAACTTCAGTAAATATTTAGTATTAAAAACTTTGATACCCTCGGAGAAATGAAGCCTTAAAATTTATACTGCAATTTCACAAAATTGCAAATATTTCAAAAACGGTAAGGTTTTAGTGCAATAAACCTTAATTAAATTTACCTTTATTTTAATCGTAGAAACTAAAAATGTAATAATATACAGGGTGTTCCACTTAAAAAAAATACAACTTTGATATTTTTTATTTATTTGGGACACTCTGTATTTTGTAAAAATATTTTTAAATTGTCTAATAGTCCTTCAACGAACCCAAAACTTACAATTTGTAAAAATCTAATCGTTTAGCTACAATATTCCGTGTCGTATGTGGTGAACAACCCTGTATATATAGACCTCCAAAAGGCTTATGACAGCATACCATTAAATAAATTGTGGGAAACGTTGGAAATAACTAATATAAATGTCTACCTACTTAAAGCAGTTAAGAACTTATACCAGAACACCACAGCTAGAATAAAAATACGAGACTCATTGTCAGAAAGCATAAAAATTACAGAAGGCCCCAAGCAGGGATGTTGCCTATCTCCTATACTATTCAAAATATACCTGCAACAGGCACTAAAAAAATGGATGCTTAAATGTAGAGGAATGGGAATCCCCCTAATAAATGAGGACACCCTGTACACCCTATTTTTTTACGGACGACCAGATAGTCCTAGCCATAGACAAACAAATAAAAAGAGACTGACAAATCTCATGGTAAAGAGTGGGACCGCGTTCCCGGAGCACAACTCAGAATAACAATTTTGAAACCAATTAGCAGGACGATGGCAGGACCAACGTCTTTATTGCTATCTTTCTTTATTATGTGTGCTTTATATGAAAAAGAAAGAGATAGGTATAAAACGAATCGTAATACATTATCGCACATTCTGGCTGGCGGAAAATTTAAATTAGCCTTTATTAGTAGTATTCTTTCATTCTGAAACTGAAAATTTTCACTTAAACTGATTTACTCCCTATACCACGTAAAGGGAACATGGTGTAGGAAATAAATCAGTTTAAGTGAAAATTTGCAGTTTCTTTCAGAACGAAAGAATACTACTATTATAAGGGAATTATAAAAAAAAAAGCAAAAAAATTGTACTGTTTATAAACATATTTATACATAAAAATAAATAAACTTTTTATAATATAATAACAAAAAATAACAGTGTTTATTCCACCCACCTACCAATTTTAAATGCAGAAGAACTGACTGTTGCAGGAAACGATCGACCAATTTTTTTAAAGGGCATTAAAAATCTCATTTTCGAAAAAACTGTCTAATTGCAATAACAAAGTGAATATCCAAGCAAAGAAGACTTTACGAGAATCATGATCCTCAACCATTTTCAAGTCCAGTTTTAATTTTTAATCCTAAAACAAAAGTAAAATAGGTATATTAATAAAGTTTCTGGTTACTATAAACCAGCTATAAACTCCCTACCCAAAAAATGATAAAAAATAATTGTATTAATTTGTTATTTTAGGAGAGGTTCGAAATATTTTTGACACTACTACTTCTACTTTTTTCTTAATAAGATGATAAATATAACTACTTACTTTTATTTTACCGGGTGTCTTTAACATATCTATCAGAGAAAGGGGGTACCAATACATATAAAAAATAGATGATACTGGTTCCTGCAGCAAATAAAATAACAAATAGTATAAACTAAAATTATAAGTAACAAAATATAAATACCTATATGGAACAAAGGAATTTGTTCCCTATCCATATTCATAAGTCAATAAAATGGAGAGTTTAGAAAAAAAGGTAAATCACGAAAAGAAAAATTAACAAACATAACGAATTGTCATGATGTTGTTATCTTGGTTGTCATGATGACGAAAACGAAAGGCGACTGTTCTAATTTCTATTTAGAAATTACGTTTTATATGGCTGCTTCTTTCTCTCTTGTTATATTAGAATGAGATAGTGGGCCCAATAGACGCAATGCGCAGATCAACATAAATAGAACGAAATTTTGGGTTCTGAGTTGCGCTACGGGAACGTTGTCCCTCTCTTTGCATTTAATTTGCCAGTCTCTTTTATTTATTTGTCTATGGTCCCTAGCCCAAGATCGACGACCTTGAATATGGCAAGGAAGCTGATACAGGAGTATAAGAAATGGGGGTTGGAGGTAAATATCACCAAAACTGAATCAATGACTGTAGGAGGGCCACAAGAGAACATAGTCTTAGAGGATGGAAGCGTGATAAAAAACTGTGACAAATATAAATATCTTGGATTGAAAATAACTAACGATGGAAAACTCGATGAGGGTATAAAAGATCGAATAATGCAAGGCAGGAGGGCAATATCTATGTTGAATGGTGTATTGTGGGATCAAGGAATCTCTAAAGCTAATAAGAAGAACATATATAATACGATAGTAAAAAGCATAATAACTTACGGAAGCGAAGTATGGCATTTGAAAAGCAGAACAGAAAACATGATATTAGCGACCGAAATGGATTACTGGAGGAGATCTGCTGGAAAATCGAAAAGAGAACAAATAACCAACGACAGAGTAAGAGAGATTATGGGAGCAGAACACACAATTGTGGACGACATAAGAACAAAACAACTCATATGGTTTGGTCATGTGCATCGAATGCCCGATCACAGAATACCAAAACAAATTTTACTGTGGACACCTCGAGGCAGAAATAAAAGAGGAAGGCCGCGACGAAGCTGAGGGAGGTGTAAGAACTAGAAAATAAGAGAAATACCTGATGATCCCTGGCTAAATAGAAGAGTGGAGGTTAGGTGTCGGAAAACGTCGTAGAATGTTCTGAACCGACTTATATATATAAACTAATTTGTCTTATTTCTTTAATATCATCATCATCATTATTTTCCATCTCTGTTCAACTATTTTCAATTATGGTGTAGCTTCCCTCACATATTAGGTAATCCCTCTGTAAAATTTTTGTAGTATTTACAAAAAATAACTATTTTATTTTGTAGATTTTCTTGCAGTGGCGAAATACCCATACAGGATTTTTTGGAGAGATGAATCCGCCACTTAGGTAGAGATTATTTACAAATTTGATCATTTTCTCAAGACACCCTCTAAATTTTGGATTTATTATCTAAAAACAATAACAGACCATTGTAAACCTGTGTTCACAATAAACCTTGCCCCAAAGCAGCGGCGTGCGGTCCACATGGAAGCGGAAACACCGCTTCCCCTAAACTTTAAAAATAGAAAAATAAAATAGTTAAACGTTAATAATACAGTTATTAATGTTAATAAAACAATATAACAAAAGGTTAATTTAATTTGTTAAAATTATTTATTTGAAACTTAACCCATAAACGTAGTAAATTTAATTAACTTTGCCTGCATGGATGCGCGCGGAAATCGCCGGTCGCCTATCCCTCCTTCATGTAGGTGTTATTGACCTCGAACACCAAACGACAAATTTAAACCGGAAAATCGCGCACCGTTGCTAGCTACGGCAGCGATTTCGATGCCTTCAGACTTTTAATTTATCAGGACGGGTTCGCTTGCGATTACAGGTAATATTGTATTTTTCAGTTTAACTTAGTGTTTACTGTTTCGTTTTATGTGGAGGTCAAAGAAGGAACAATCTTCTGCAGTACTAAAACATATAAAAATTTCATGAGGAATTCAACAAGCAAGAAGACAGACTTTCAAATTTTATTGTATAATTGTCACCGCACGCCGCTGCCCAAAGACGATTCATTTCCCATTTAAATTACATAGGAATTTGCCACTTTTTGCAAATCATTTTTTTTCTCTCGATCTTGTTCTCTCACAGCCATGACAATCACATATTCTTGTACAGAATTGAACGTTCTACAAAAAATGTCTCTTACAATTTTTCGATAAACCTACTCCTTCAAAAGTTATTCACGGCTAAATTTAACCACTCGGTAAATTCCTAAATTCTTCAACTATTTTGTCAAAATTATTTTTGAAAAATTTAATCTATTATGTAAATACAATGAGGAAGACGCATATATTTTATTTTTTCGCCAGAAACTGTTCAATTTATTAGAATAAATATGTGTAAATGCAAAAAAAAACTTTTTTCTTGAAAGCAGTACCACAATTTTATAAAACGGGCCATTAAAATACTATGGATAACGCAAACGACGCCTCGCGAATTGAAACGATATTCTATTGGTCTGACGTCACCCGCCGTTCTCGTCGACGCGTGATGGCGAGCAGCAGCCAGACGTGTTCCGTTTATGTACGTATTTAGGTGGCGTACAAAGACATTTCTGTTGCTTTTAGCGTTGATTGAAGGAGCTTTTATGCGTTTTTGTGCAGTTATTATTTGTATGTGTTGTGTGTTCTGAGAATTTTTTAAGTAATGGCAGATTCCGGGTTTGTAAAAGCACAATCAGATAACTTGCCAACAGTCGATGCTTTTATGTTGGCTGCTTTTATAAATACAAATTCCCAATTTATTGGTGCTGAGTTACGAGGAAAAAACAGAGAGGTATGTAACATTTATTCTTTGTAGTACTGAAGCATATTTAAGTATAAGTAGGTACCTACTGTTACGAACTTTTATATAGTTATAAATTAATGTTATAAACTTATTTGTCAGATCAGGTACGGAGACGTATGGAGATAATGCTGTAGGTTATGTAGAAGTGAAAAGAGACAAAAATATTTGTTTAGTATGTTGAAAAATAACTCCAAAGCATAGCGTGAAAAAGAAAGTTTTTTTAATATATTGACACCTCCTTACCCTTGTTATTTTTAAACATTGTTTTTTTTACGAAATTATAGGAAATAAATTGTTTATCAGTAATGAAAATATTATACAGGTGTCCCATAATTACGCCAAATTAAGTTACTTTTTTAAGTGAAAACCCCTATATATTTTTGCATCCTTAGGAAATTTCTAGATATTCTAGATATATTTCATGTATAATATCCTATACCTATCTTCAAATGTTTACGAAATATTGACAGTTGAAAAGCGAAAAATACCTACAATTTTCTGCACCACCTTTTTTGAGATACCCTGTATAACTAGAATTAATTTTAAAAGAGAGTATATGAAAAACCATGCAACTTTTTTATTTAATGTTTTATTCTAAAACTTGCAGTTAAGGCTGTATGTGGGTGTCAAAATATAATGAAAAACCCTGTACATTCAAATTTCATATACCTATGTAAGACAATATACATAAATATATGAACTTACATCAAAATGATCTTCACAACAATAAATCGTAAAAATAGAGGATAATTTAACGTTTTTCTTTGCATCTCTTCTCATGGCCTTGGACCATTTTTTTCTGTTTTCACTCATCCATTACTATTTAAAAATATCACTAATTACTAATTATGTATTAATTAACACAAATAACTAAAATTTTGACTCGGATTCAACAGCGTTTAAAAGCAAACTGTGTAAAATAAACACGCGTCTGGCTCCACTCAACCAGAAGAACGGCGGGTGACGTCACAGCGGCAAGGCGCAGTAGAGAGCGTTTGCCCGGCCATTTAAATTAACAATATTTAATTATTTTATATTAGAGGCATTTCTTAACCGATATCAACGATTTTTTTTTTCAATTTGTATTTATATGAACTATTTTTAAAACCATTATTTACATGCATTTTTCCTCATTCAGCGGATGGTGTTAGGTTGGGAATTAAGAAATGTTTAAAGTCTAATGAAGTTTAAACCAAAAATCAGCTATACTAAAATGGTAGAGATACCTTTTAAAGGGAGTAGGTTTATCGAAAAATTGTAGAGACCTTTTTTTAGCGACCCCGTTCAATTCGTCTTTGGGGCAAGGTTTATTGTGAATATTAAGGGTTTGTGATTACTGTTATCAAAAGAATAAACCGCAGTTTACTGAAATATATACAATTGTGGGTATTTTTTTCCATCAACAAAAGCTTTAAGGCACTTTCTTACAAAATTCCTCTAAGGCAACAATTATTATTTTAATCAACCATTTATTGACTAGAATCTAAAACACTAAGCGTTTATCATCACGTTATACTTTCTTTAACCAATACCTAGTAACTTGAGTATTATCTTACAATAAATTATGTTTTTATTGGCACCATAAGATCAATTTTGAACACATTTAAACATCGTTCTAATATTATATTACATTTTATACAAGCTATATATAATTTTATTACTTAAATCTACGAGTTTTTATATAAAAATAATTCAGGAAAAATAGCTCAATATTTTGGCATTTTCCTTTTGCGTTTAACAAGATTTATTTCTACAATCATTTGGATGCAATTTTTGTGTTATATTATTATTGGTCTCCAATACCTTGAATTGATTTGAAAAACATTAAAAACATTTACACCAAAAATAATTTTTACTTGGATGGTACACTAGAAATCAGCTCTCTTCTTTTGTACAACGGACCTACATTTGGACCTGCACTAACAGGACTAGGTTCTGTTTTAGGAACACTGTTAGTCGATGAATCCAGAGTCTCAGAATCTGGAATATGTCGAGTCATATGCCTTGAATCCGTATACCTTCTCTTGGTGTATTTCTTTTTATCCCTATCCGATGATCCAGTACTAGTTGTGGTTGGTGCAACAGTACTGCTTTGAACAGAGGAAGGTGTAGTAACAGAGGAACTCTTTGGTTTGGTCTCAACTTTGCTGATCCTCTCAAAATCAGCGGTTCTGGATCGAAGAACGGCATTTCCTATGCTGGTAATGCTCGGTGTGAAACGTGGTTCTCTTTCTGATTTCGATTCAGGAAAGGTCACCACGCTGGAACTCTTGGGAATATCAGCTCCTTGCATTGCTGCCTTCAACTCACGAACTTTCTGGATAGTTTGGGGAGAAGGAGTTTGAGCAAATGACACTTTCTGCACAGTGGGCATCTCCTTGGCCACAACCCTTCCTTTTGGAGCTGGTTTAAGAATGTTGACGTCATCAGGGATGTAGTTTACCGACGTCTGGATACTGTCCGGAGACGTTGGAGGACTGCTTGTCCAGCTGGGAGGCGATGAGAAGTGTCCAGCGTCTGCCATACTGGACGACACTGAAGTAGGGGTATTCTGGTGCGGAGATGAGTACGTTGTGGGCGCTGATGAACCTACGGCAGAATCATATCCTTGACCTAAAGATAAAAGAACAGCGTTCTCTGTTTTTATTGTTGTTTTGGAGTTGGCGGAGTTTTTGGACGTACCTAAGGATAGTGATCCGGTGATGGGTTGAATGGTTGAGGAAATGGATGAGTCGCTTCCGATTGAAATGTTTCTTCTTCTGGGTGGTATGGTGGGCGCTTTGACCAGTCCTATTACAGTGGGCTGTCGGGTGTTGTCTACGTCTTCTATGTAAGGAATGTCATCATCTGAAAGTAAATAAATATTGTTACTTAAGGAATATGAGATATGTGTAAAAAGTTCTTAATTTTATTAAATATTCGAATTGTTACAGGGTTTTTAACAGGACACTGTGTCTAATCAATAGACACCTCATAGTCAAGATCCTGAGCGATCTGACATAACTTATTTTCACAAGGATGAAACCTTAGTAATTGTTTTGTTTACTAGGTGTTTTAAACTAAAAGGGCTAAAGTGCTTATTTCCAGTGCTTTATTGTTCAACGTCTTCCAGTGGGTTTAGGGCAACAAGCAACAAATTCTCTTAGAAGGGCTAAGTCGTCATCTGCTGTAAACCTAAGCCTCTTTATAGGTTCTTTAATATTGGAAGAGGTGGAATCCATATTTTGGGCCATATTTATTTAATTAAAACTAATCCCAGCTACTTAAACATCAAATTATCTAATAAAACTAAAGCAATAATTCAAAACAATTCACATAACCTAAAATAAAAGATCTCGCCGGCCGGCCCCGGTTGTCAAATACCCGCACATGCCCATTTAAGCAATTTTTAAGCGTTATTTAGAAATAGCGCTTGGTGTAATTGATCCGCAAATTACGTCAGGCGGTAACGTTATTAGCGGGTGTTGCATTAAAAATTGACTCGCGCATATCGTAACCATGATAAGGTACGCGTAAATACTGCATGACGCTATCCGGTTTTCCGATATCTCTCTAATCACTGTGCCGGTCAGGCGCTGTGCACAATTTTAGAGGCCATAAGTGGGCGTGCTATGTGCGCAAACTAGTAACCTAACTAGTGCCCGATTCCAAGTGGAACCACGAAAACAATAAAGAAAAACAAAGTTTATAATCTACTTATAATCTGGCACTACTGAGGAGCCTACGGTTTCATCCTTTGTAACAGTCAAATTTCCTCGCAACGACCTCTGTGTGCTAGCTCATAAAATATCGCAAATAGCTATTATTTTTGCATCATGTTTACTATAATTTTATTGTTAAATATTATTTTATTTAAATTTTACAATTATGCAACCCGAAATACACCGCGATTTTATACGGCTACAGCTCCACAATATTTTCACTGGCCCAGCATTAGAATTTTTGTCGACCTCTCTTTATCTTTGGTCATCACTTGTCACTGTCAGATCGAATCAGATGTTTTTGGATTTATTTATCCTTTGTTTTGGTTATTGAAATTTTATAATTGCCAGATAAAATTTCGTAGTTAGAATGGTTATTATATTCGCGTCCAGTCCGAATGTATTATCTTGATTTTTCTATACGTAGTACCGTCCCTGCGTGCACAATTTTAAAGCTATAAGCTAAATTCCCTCCCGCTACCAGTCTAGGTGGCCGCGCCGGCCCTGGCGCGGCGGTCGGTATTCATTCGTCTTACGTGCACGGTGCAGTGCGGATCGTAGCTCTCCGATTTCTTCGTCGTAGATCGATGAAGCCATTTTGTTTATTCTCTACTCATTTTGGATATTACTATGTAATATACGGTGTTCTACAGCTAGGTAGAACACAAGGAACAATATGTAATATTGTATAATATTTATTTTAGAGAGAAAACAGAAGTGGCGTAAATAACGGAATATTAGAATTAGATAAAAGAAAGAAAACAACAAGAATATTATATATATCGGACTGTTGTACTCTCAATTGAACAAAGTTCGTACGTGTAAAGAATGTCCTTCTCCTTGTAAGAGGAATTCTCATTTATATAAGGTTCTATATCTCGCAGTCAAAGAGAATATTATAAATGCCAAGTATTTGCATTTCCGAGTGGAGTCAAATTTCGTATTTTTTAGAGGATGACCATATGAGAGAGATTCCTTTTATAAGTCAATATTGATGTCCACTATCGAGAGATAGAATTACAGGTATCACCAAGTATCTTATAATTTTTAGGAAATTAAATAATGAATGGAAATAATGAAAATAAAATCAAATTTCGAAATATGGAAATGATAGAGAGGCAAGGAGGAAACAATGGAATTAGACAAAAAGAAAAAAATGAGAATAACATATATATATTAAACTGTTGTCCTCTCCGTGAGACAAAGTTTTGTACTTACAGAGAATGCCCTTCTCTTCGTGAGAGGATTCTATTATATGAGATTCTAGACCTCACCAATCAACAGAGTACTATAAATGCCGAAGTGTTTTATCTCCCAGCAATGAAATAAGGTATGAAACAAGTGTGCTGAAAATGCCTATCTCTGGAATTGATTTCTTTTTTTGTAAAGTTTAGATCTCACTCTCAAAGGGAATATTATTTATATATTTAGGTGCCAAAATATTGGTATCTCCCAGTGAGACAAAATTTCGTACTTTTTAGAGAATGCCCATCTCCGTGTGGGAGGGATTTCTTTTATACGTTATCGATAGCCTTATCGAAAAATTAATTACACATTACATGTAAGTCTTTTAGAATATTTATTTTTAGACGAATATTGGATGGAAATAAATAGAAATACATCCAGAAATGTGGGGATTAGAGGAAAGGGAGAAAACAAAGGGATGAGGAATATTGTATAAACACGGACTGTTCTTCTCCACAGTGTTCTTTTCATAGCAGAGACAAAGAGTTAGTACTTTTAGATAATCCTCTACTCACCGTGTGAGAGGGATTCGCTTTTTAGATATTCAGAGCTCGCTATCGAGATAATATTATAATAACCGAAGTGTTGTCTCAATGATACAAAATTTTTAAATTTTAGTGAATGCCTTTCTCCGTGTGAAAGGGATTCGCTTTATAAATGACGTTCTCGGTCTGGTTATCGTAGAAATGCTAGATTTCACAAAAGAATTTAAGTGATAAATCTAAAAATTTTAGACCCTCAAAAAAAATAAAAAAAAGCAAAATAAACGATATATTTCAACAGGAAACTCCCCACATTGTTATATTTATAAGGCTGTACGTTCAAAAAGCAGGACCCAGTCGTTATTTAAACATCACTATCTCATAACAGATCGAACACAAGGTCAGCAACTATGAGGAAAATAACCAAATCTAGCGATTTGTGCAGTTTGTTGGGGAAGGGCAATCAAAGAGATTTACAGAAAAACCGACTCTTCGATGATGATACATTCTTCTTCGGGAGACGAATTCAGTCTTAGCCAATGATCTGGCTTCAGCACAGAACAAGGTCCAACTTTTATATCTGAGAAAATATTTTAGCTCCCTAATTTACCAAGGAGTCATGGCATGTCGCCTATCCTCTCCTGTGTCATAATTGTTAAGATGAAGTCCAGCATATTTTCGAAATCAAACTCTTAAAAAAAAAAAATCTGGGTTATAAAATTTAACAATACTCGTCGTAGACTTAATATTCTTTTAAAGGAAGAGAAAAATATTCATAAATATATCATGGAACAAATATGGACGGTTGTTATAGATACCGGACGCATAGTCCTAATGTGGTTGACGGTATCTTGTACGAAAGGTATCAACTATTTTTCCCTCTGAAGGATTTTCAAATGAAAATCATGAGGAAGAAGGACCTCTGGATAAATTTACGTTTGAACCTTGCTTAGAGGAAAACATACAAACAACGGAATGTATCCAGATATTTGTGACAGATATTCGAATATGTCTTTACCTTCCTTCTTACAAAAAGGAGGGGGGGTGATACATGAGGCACGAGCGGCCAATTCATTAGGTACCCTTCAGTTTGCTGCCTTTCCAGCCCTTCTACAATAAAATAGGCGACAACCAACTTAACGTTGACCTCCAAGTCATTAAAAGTAATCATCTTAGCTGACCAGCTAATAATAATAACTCAAATATGTATATAATAATAAAATAGCTAATATCCTAGATTTTCATAGCTAATATATGTATATATATATATATATATATATATATAAAAAAAACGTCTTTTTCTCTATTTTGGCTAAAGAAATTTCTCTATTTTGGCTAAAGCTATTCTAATGGAAATGTAAGTTTTATTCTAAATCTTAAGTAACTGTGTCTCATTTCAAAGGAGGTCCTTATGATAACGGCTGTTAAATGCTAATTTGTTTATGTAAATCTTTGACTTTCATATGTTGGAATACTCACCATCTACATTTAGAGTTTATATTTACCCATTTCGGCCTATAAAAGCAGTGTTGTGTTTTGGCCAATACTTTATACATTTTGACAAAGTGACAGACTTTGTGTAAATTATCGAAACAAAAAGTTAGTTTTTTCTTACAGTATATAATATATATTTTCTCCTCTACAATACACTTTCGAAAGAGATGATTATAATAACACTAATGTAAACTTTCACAGACTGGAATTTTTTCTTAAATATCTCTGGATGGTTTCTCGTTGAAAGAGGCTTTTGTAAGATATGATGTGTCTAAGGTTTACTGCATTAAAATTTTACTATAAATGTTCCCTAACAGTTCGACTTTCTTATCTAGAAATTTCGGAATTTTAAAGAATAGACATATCAATTAAATCATAAAGTGGAAATAGTTTTCTTGCAGTTTTACATATATAAATAGATTATATAATTCTTGCCGTGAACTGCTATGAAAAATAATAAATCATATATTGGTTTCACGTCATAGTTACTGAAAATTATCAAAAAAAAAGAAATAAATAATACAAATAATAATACAACTTCTGTTATAAAATTGATACAGATCAATATCTGTGTCTACTTTATATCAATGTCCACAATATCCATACCAATGTATGGCTCGAAATCTAATCTATATGATGACACTGGTTTAATTCATCGACGTAATTAAAGCATTTTGGAAAATAAATTATTGAGAATCTTAATTTCTTACTACCAAAGTCTAACATTCAAATGTTGTCTAATATTAATGGCTTAAAAAGTAAGGCCTTTTAAATATTAAGCAATGGGATAGAAACATCTTAAAAAATATATATCGGTTAAACCTCACTATAGTCGAGTTATCCACTCAGTTCTACATTGAGACAGGGATTTTTATCGACACGATGAGTTAACTGGTTTATAAAGTATAATTGAACAATTTTGGCAGAATGCTTTATGGAAGTGCCATCTTATGGGTTTCTGTTTCTGCTTAGTATGCATATATGTATATTGTCACAATTTAATAAATCCATGTAATGATGGCCGTTAAATTGGTTTCATTTTGGTTGCACTCAATAAACATATTTATAATTTCAGCTATTTTTGTCTCAAAAAAAAATGCTTTCTGCACTGCATTCATTAATTTGCAACCATCGGTTTTTTAAACATCTACGTATAAAAAAATCAAGACTGGACGCGAATATAATTATACGATCAAACGAACTTACCTGAAGTGAAGTTCGATCGTAATTTAGCGTCCGGTCAATGTCTTCCACCGTTTTTATGGTCGCTTGAATTAATGAATAAATCTTTGAAAATGAATACCGACCGCCGCGCCAGGGCCTGCGCGGCCATCTGGAGCTGGTAGCGGGGAGGGAATTTGGCTTATAGCTTTAAAAATTGTGCACGCAGGGACAGTACTACGTATAGAAAAATCAAGATAATACATTCCGGACTGGGCGCCTCATATAATTACGATCGAACTTCACTTCAAGGTAAGTTCGTTTGATCGTATAATTTTTTGATAATGGATCGCAGTGTGCAATTCGTTCTTTTAATTGTGGAATTTCTGAGTTTAGTTCGTTCATTGACCGGATATGGAATATGGCTGAGGAGAAAACATCATTTTTTTATTTATGCCTTTTTGTGAGTTGGGCTAGTCAAGATATATAGTTCTCTATCTATATCCTGGAGGGAGATTTCCGGTTGAAATCTGATTTTGTGAAGGAAATCGAATCCTTGCATCACTTCTTGTGTACCCAACGTCCGAATGTCGTCGTGAACAACTGGCTGCCGTTTCGTGAAGCATTCCCTGTTGGTGAATAGCAGGTCTTCGTAAAGAAGGATTAAGGCTTCCGAAACACCTTTGGTCAGAAACGTGGTTGGATTTTGTTGATTTGTATGGACCGCCGACCAATTTCCGCAATGGGATTAAAATAGCCAAATTCTCCGACCGATATTCCGATTCCACGTGCCCAAGAAGTCCCCGAATAGTTCCAAGATATGCTATAATTCTTCTGCTATATATGCTTCCATTCTAAGTCAATGCTCAACTGATTTTTATTCGTATTGTTGACTGGTTTTCGACTTTTCCACGCCCACGTGGTGTAGAAAGATTAGTTGAGTATTATCTTTCTTAAGTCTTATTTGGTTGTTCGTAATTGTAGAGCAAGAAGACCGATCCAGACCGTAGTGCACAGAACAGTCCAGAATTCCATCCTGTTGCCCGTGCAGAGGTACCCGCTGGACATCTTAAACCCTCGTTGAGGTAAAGTTCAGATTTGATTAGTCCTTCTTTACTACTTTTATTAACTCCTACACGTTGTGCTAGTCCTTGTTCTATAACTGAGGCTCTTTTCTAAGACAACCAATGTTATTTAAGGTTTTTTATGTTCACCTTTTGAAGTCCTACACCTGGCCGGCATCCGTACGTCTGCTGACATCCGTGGGCTCCAGTGACAGTACACCGAGCTGCTGTGCACCGCCGTAGCCACCCTGTAGCTATACACCGTAGCTCAGCTGGAGGAAGTTTTCAAGTACAATCGAATAGAGTAAGACTGTACAATTTTAGTTTAGATTTAGTTTGATATTTGTAATCCACCCAGGATATTGTACTTTATTTAAGTAAGGGGGATTATGACGTCATACTTTTAGTTAGTTTTCTTGATTTAAATTTTATTCTACTTTTCAACGTTTATTCATTACCATTTCTTTAAATATTAACTTTTAATATTTTAATAAATTGCTTAAACATTTTTAGTAGTATTATTTGCAGTCTAGTCTCATAGTTAACTTAGAGTCACTTAAGTTTAACGAGTTATAGCATATTTGAAGTTCATGGTAGTTACACTCAACAGTTCGAGGTTAGTGTTGAAGTCTACTTAATAGTAACACCTTTTATGCCGAGTTCATAGAGTATAATCTCGTGGCGCCCTTTTAATAATATCTTTGAACCCGACCACCCGGCTGTTAAAAATTAAAAAAAGCTAGTGGCCTCTATGCAGCTCATCCTAATTAAGTAAACTTTGTGTTTTATTGAACTTCAAATAAGAAAGGGCGTGGCACCTTGTGCAAATAAGTTATATCAGATCGCTCTGGGATCTTGGACCCTATTAGAATGAAAAGTAAAAATAATTTGTTCTCTAGAAGGTTTTTTTATAAACTCGAAATGATTGCTCGACGAACATAAACTTTGGTACGACTGATGTCGGAGATGGAGAACTAGCCTCTGTAAACCGTCTCAGATACTGGCTTTGTCAGAAGCCCTGAGACTGTATGATGATATAAATTATAATAACTCAAACTACAAGCTGCTAATATTTTTAAGATAATGTATTTTTTATTTATCTACCTGTATTATGAAACACCGGTTTTGAACGGGAATGGTCAAACTGGCTGTCAAAACTCCGCTGTTGTCCAGAATGTCTTGCAGGCTGGACTTTTTTCGCCTCGATGTTACTGTTCTCGTCGCTCATCCTCAGAACTCAGGCCACGTCATCGGTGTGCGTGGAACTGGTACTTTCAATGGACGAGGAACGGTGTTTGGCATAGACGTCATCGTCCTTGGCGCCTCTGGCTCTGGACAGAAGTAGACCGTCTTCGTATTTTCGCGTTTGCGTCGTAAGCTGCGTTCTCGAATCTTGTCTTTGTGCCTGAAATGAAAGTTGAAATAATTAGGCACAAAATTAATTCCCTAAGTTTCTAAGGTTTCCAAAATACCGCAGCTCTTTTTTATCCAATCACTGATGAATGGGGTATACTATACAGGATGGTCAGAGCTGAATTTGAGAAACTTCAGCAGCATACTCTGCAGATAAAAATAAGTAAAAAGTTCGTATAAACCTTTGAATAAGAAGACTAAGGAAGGAGCATAATGCTATCCATGTATTCATGCATGGGCGGCGGAAAAAGGACTCTAAAATAGTTGGTTGTGTAGCGTCCGGTAGATCTCGGCAAAAATCGAGTGAAATAATGGAACAACTTTTCGCTAGTAAGTGACTATATAATATACATACGTGTTGTAAACCGATCATTTGTGAAGTTCACTTAAATTAACTAATTAAATATTTTTTCTTGCATTTTTGCTTTTATTTACCACTTGTCAAAGATTAGATGTCAAAGAATTTAGATACATCAATTTGACTTACCTGCTTCAGTAGCGTATCGGATGTTTGTGTTAATAAATAATTAGTAAAACTTATCTATTTTTATTATAATAATATGTTTTTATAACAATTTTAATGACTACCAACATTTATTCACAACGTAATATAAAAAAAAATATTGAGTTTACCCCACGTCTACCCTACATCATAGTTTTACATTTTTTAAATAAAATTAGAACGGCACTGATAAACCGAAATTTAAGTCGGCCATATTTGAGTCCCATCGCGGTGGACCTAAAATTTTTGATATGCTCCTTCCTTAGTCTTCTTAGTCAAAGGTATAAACTTATGTCCTATAAAATCCTTGGTTTCGGAGATACAGGGTGTAGAAGTTTCAATTAATTTCTGAAGTAACGTCAACATTTAGATGAAAATTGGTGTCTGGGAGTTTTTTGACATGAGAAATTTGATTTTGATGTCAATATTACTCCTACTAGTAGAGGTCGCCACCTACATATTTTTTAACTGGTTTGAAGAGTAGCCAACTTTTCGTCACAACCCCGTTAAAAAACTCCCAGAACTTCAATTTTCTGACGTTATGTCATTGGAGTGCAGGGACATTTACAAGAACGAATAACATTTCCAGTGAAGAAAATATGGGAATCAAGGACTCAAGAACCTTAAAAAGAAATAGAGGCAGACCAAAACGTGGAATAAAATAGTTGATCATATTTTACAAAGAAAAGGGAGTACGTGGGAAAGAGCAAAACAATTGGCACAAAATAGGAAGAAATGGTCTGCATCTATGACAAGAAAACATGAACATGTAACCCAGACACCCTCAGGGTAAAATGGGTGTTTTCGATTATATATACAGGGTGTCCCAGAAATGAGTGCAAATAATTTAACTGGTAGTATAGTTCAACCCCAGAAACACGCCTATGAGGTTTTTTCGCAAAAAAAATTAATAATTCGAATTTTTTTGGAAATGTTTTTAGTTTTTAGTTAAAAAAACATAATTTCTTGATAATATGGCAACATAAGTATTAGATTAAATTTACAAGAAAGAAAATCCAGAAAAGATCCAGTGGTTCTCAAAATTTTAGCAAAATATAATTTTTTTTAAATTTTCAAAGTAAAATAACTCCGTTATTTTGTACTTATTTGAAAAACGATAAAGAGAAAATATGTTTCTTTTACGAGATCTACCACCAGCAAAATATTTGCGGGACACCCACATATGCAGGGTGTTTCAAAAGCTAAATACGTAAAACTTCAGGGGTGATTCTTGTTCAAAATAAGGGTAGTTGCTTCACCAAACGTTGGGTCAAAAGTCAACCATTAGGGAGATATTGCGGTACAAAGATGGCGGAAAAATAATGTTTTTATTTTTTATCTTGAAAACGAAAAGAGATAGACTAATAAAATTTTATGAAAGCATTACTGTTATGAAAACACACTTTCTGGTAATTTTTTCACTTTTTTAAAATGAGTGGAAGGGGTTCAAATAAACTACCCCTATCATTCTTGTTAACGAAATTTAAAGAAAAATCTTATCAAACACATGCAAAAAAATTAATTTGGATAGTTTAGTTTGTTTAGAAACTTTTTTATCTCTTGTATTTTTTTGATAAAACTCACCGATCTGAAATTAAAAAATAAAATGTAAAACATTACATGTCAGGACAAAAAACATTTTCTGATAAAGAATCTAGTGGGCTGCTGTAATTTTTTTAGGAAAAAATCTAGTCGGCCGCTGTTACTTTTTAGGATGTTCCTAATATTATTTTATTTGACATTACTCTACTGCAATACGTTATTATCTAGAAGATTATTATTATCGTATTATCACTAGATTCTTAATCTAAAAATGTTTTTTGTCCTGACATATAATGCTTTACATTTTATTTTTTTATTTCCAATCGGTGAGTTTTATCAAAAAAACACAAGAGGTAAAAAAGTTTCTAAACAAACTAAACTATCCAAATTAATTTGCATGTGTTTGATAAGATTTTTCTTTAAATTTCGTTAACATGAATGATAAGGGTAGTTTATTTCAATCCCTTCCACTCATTTTAAAAAAGTAAAAAAATTACCTGAAAGTGTGTTTTCATAACAGTAATGCTTCCATAAAACTTCATTAGTCTATCTCTTTTCGTTTTCAAGATAAAAAATAAAAACATTATTTTTCCGCCATCTTTGTACCGCGATATCTCCCTAATGGTTGACTTTTGACCCAACCTTTATAAAGCAAACTACCGTTTATTTTGAACAAGGAATCACCCCCTAAAGTTTTTCGCATTTGTTGTGAAACACCCTGTATATTGACGTTACTCCAAAAATTATTTGAAAAAAATCGAAAAAAAATGAAACTTCTACACGCTTTATCTCTGAATCTAAGCATTTTAGGACATACATTTATAGGAACTTTTTTACTTATTTTTGTCGGTGAGTTTTATCATTTTTATCAGCAGAATATAGTGCCGGAGTTTTCGGAATACATTTGCGACCACCCTGTATAAATGGATAGAAATAAAAGTAACGTACCTAATCCTCATACCAACATTAGGACCACCTGTGGCTGCAGCCTCGTGGAGACACTCCTCTCTAGAATAGGTCTTTTTCGGCTCACTCTGTATATATTTCGGATCGAACGCATTTTCCATAGAAACTTCCGAGTTCGGCTGAGTTGGTGTCCATGGAGCAGAATTGCATTCTGAGTAGTTCATCCACTGATATACGAAAAAATAATGTTTTTTACTAAATATTGAATTGATATTGTTAAAAAGTGCAAATAATAGTTATTTTTATACAAGACGATAATGCAATTTATCGTCGTGTATAAAAACAATACTTTTTCCTGCTTGAGTTAAATTTTAAAAATATTCGAAATTACTATTTCAAGAATTTATTATGAGTAGAAAAAATATTGACGGTTGGTTTGGTTTCTATGTAATTTGACAAATAAATAAAGCTGTCTCTTTAGTTGTCAGTTTTGAGTCAATATTTTTTAATTTTCTTTCGTGTCGATTGCTGATTGAATTGGAGCCAAAAATGGCTCAAAACGAAATAAGTAAATTACCAACAGATATTCAAGCTGAGGCGACAAACGCCATATCCAAACTACTTACATTTAAATCCCGAATAACTTATGAAAAGGAATACAAAAATGTTCAAAAATGGAAGCAATTAAAAAACGTACGAGAAGAAATAAAGTTTTTGACCTATCCTCGCTGTTAAAGTATCATTTAATCTACCCTTGCGGTTACACTTTAGTACATATTTTTTCATATATTTTTTGGCGATTCGTATCTCTCCCCTCGCACTGAGCAAAAAATGAAAAGAAACTTTCTTGATTGATAGAGAACTTTTAAAGAATATTAAAGACGTCGGTGTGGGTGATAACCGGAAAACCCGAACTTGTTATATTTAGGGTACAAGGAGTGAAACTTTTTAGATAAAACTCTAATGGATTGAGCGGTCTTTGGAAGTTTTTTTATTCCGAACGGCAAAGTTTAAAGACGGTTATTTTATTAAAGGGAAATTAGTGGAATATGAAATTGATCGATATTTATGAATGGGGGAGGAAAATTTAATTTATTTGAGAATATGACACATGATAACGAGGCACACTTCGAATTCCTAGACATGGAAAAAGCATTTGATTTGGTTTGGTTTGGAGAGTCCCAAGGTTTGGAGAGTCCCAAGACAAGAGAAATATACCACCTAGTAATCTAACTTTAACGTCAACTTGACAATCCTGAAAAATGTTATTGTTAACCAAAGAGTAAATCAATTTCTGAATTCGCTAACGCCAACTTATTTTTCATTAAAAAAAAAATACCAATTTTCGTAACTAGGTCGGCCATATTGAGGAACTTTTAAAAGAATTGTACTATAATCAAAAACTACTACTAATATAGACAAACTACTAATATGGAACATGTTGAAGAAAAGAAATGTTGGTGATATAATGATTAATGTAATAAAATGTATATATGACGAAACTAACAATTACGTAATAAAAAAACAATATGAAATCTGAAATATTTAAGACAGGAGTACGCCAAGGAGGAAGCCTCAGTCTACTGTTATTTATAATTTATATGGACGAAATTATTCGTGAAACCAGCAAGAGAATTAGACCAATCTACATCAAATATAGAAATTTGCAACCAATCGAAGTAACAGATTGTGCTTGCGCCGGACGATGTAGTATTAGTTGCGGATACCGTAAAATCAACATATGGAATAATGTTCTGATTAAAAAGGGTATGAAACTCAATAAATCAAAAACCAAAGTAATGCAGATAGCAAAAGAAACAAAGAAAATACATATACACGTAGATGATACAGAGTTAAAACTGGTCGAGACATATCAATATCTAGATATTGTCATAGAAGCAAATGGAGACAATCATGTGGAAATAATAATGTATACTATGCAATGAATAAGGGATTTATAAACAAAAATGAAATATCGAGTAAAACCAAGATGACAGTTTTTAAAACAATACCGGTTGCGTCTCAAAAGTGGCTCACCCCTATAACTTTTTTATCTTTTTAGATAAAAAAAACGAGATTTTGTATGTTAGTGTATGACATAAGTTAAGATTGATTGACATATTCAATTGTTTTCGGTCACTTCCTGTTTCACCGGAAATGACTACAACTTTTGATTTTTAAATGGCACCATCGGTATTTTTTTTTTACTTTATTCGATAAAGAACGACACTATGAATAGAATGACATATCATATCTCAACCTTTGACATTTTCGCATATGGTTTATTTGAAATTATAACTTGCGGTTCGTAACGAAAATTTGATTCGAAATACCAAATGTGTGGTATCAAATTATTCGTAAAAAAATTTCAAATTCCATTTGAAAAACTTGAGACATAATTAAAAATACGATTTGAGCATTTTCTAACTGGCCAGGATAAAACACTAAAAACATTAGACGATCAAATCTATTTTTCCAAGAGTTCTTGATTAAGTGTTAGTTAGTTAACATAGTCATGGCACTCTAGATTGAATTTTAAAATACGATTTTTTATTAAGCGAGAATGTCAAAAGTTAACATATGAATTGTCATTCTATTCAGAATGTCAGTTTCTATCGAATAGAGTCAAAAAATACCGAGGGTGCCATTTAAAAATCAAAAGTTGTAGTAATTTCCGGTGAAACAGGAAGTGACCAAAACAATTAATTGAATACGTCAATCAATCCAAATTTATGTCATATATTTGTACCAAAAGGCAACCTTTGTACCAAAATGTGAACAAATTAGGATTTTATGTCCAAAATTTCAATAAGATAATAATAATTAGAGTATTTTTCTAAATAGTTATGGCCGTTAAATTATAAAAAAAATAAAAGTAATTTTATTCTCATTGACTCTCAATTTGTACTAATCCGAAAAACTGGGAATGCCTGGACACACTTGGAAGTCTGGTAGAGAACTTGGAACTCTGGCTTTGGTTAAGTAAAATAAACTTCCCAGCTATATCTGAGGCGTGACCTATATGTGCGAATAGAGCCTTAATATAAACTTACTCGTCTGCTCCAGCTATGGCATCCTTTTTATTCAACAACTGATCCAAAGCTTCCGGATGCGAGTCCATCATGTGAACGTAGATTTCATCCAACAACTCCGCAGGTACCAAGAAAAGTTGCTTGTAGTGATCTATCAGCGTCCTTACAACGTTTATGACGTCGATGCGATCCTCCGATCTATCTGACATATCTTTACCTCCAGGTTTGATGCAGTGAAGAATGTTCGGAGCGAAGACAGTGGCCAAGTTGTTAGTGTCCATTTTGTTTCCAGGAAGCTCTTCCCCTGGAAAAAGAAAACAATTCAAAAACAGACAAAAACCGAGTAATAACTAACCTTAAAGGTTGATTCTCACTATACCTTCCGTATCAGCCAACTTCCGTTTCCCTTCCGTGTATATAAAATATTATATCATGTAAATGGATAGGACAATGCACACTATCCGTTCCGTTTCCCTTCCGTTCCATACCATTTCCTTCCATACATTTTTTTTTTGGCGGAAGGACTGAAGCGTATCGGAAACAGCGTTGTCAAGTGGTTACATTTGTACCATCTCTATTAACATATTGCTGATATTTATATATTAAAACTTTCGTAATGATATAAATTGTACATTAAAAAGTATGGAACTGATACAGAACGGAAGCTTACGTATAGCGTCAATACAATCAAAAATACGGAACGGATATGGAATGGAAACGGAAGGTATAGTAAGAATCCTTTAAATTGGATTAAAAAATTTTGAGAAAAAAATATATGTTCGA